TCAATGATTTGTTGACGTTATCTCCGTAGAATTGTCTAATTAATTAAAAAAAAATATTTATGCTATTATTGGACACTAATTAATAATAATGTTGACAGAAATAAGTTTTCTTTAATTGAAAATTTTGTGGTGGGTTTCGTCTATATGTACGACTTGTCCTCATTGTCATTCTATGTGGAAACACCTTCCTAATTTTTCTGCAAAGAGTTGTCAAAGTTTTGAATTTAATTTATGATGCATTTTTCTTCCGTGTTTTGGTCAGCAATTAATTAAATTTTAATTAATTTTTCTGTCAAAAGACGTGATTTTTATTTACGACCATCATGTGAACAATTTATTTTGTCATATTTTTTTGGTCAAAATTGTATCATATTTTATGTAGAAGATGATTTTACTCTCTGATTAAAAACCATGCATGTGCTTTGATTTTGATTGATTGATTTATTTTTATATTTTAATTTTGAAATAAATACTACTTGAAGCCAAAAAAAGAAATAAATAGGAGTACTACTTAATAAGTTCACACTTAGATTCATTAATACAATTAAGCGGATGAGATCACACTTGACTTTTAAAATTTGGATAAAGAATTTAATATTGAGATGACACAAAAAGTTGACTTGTCAAAAAATGAATACTCGAAACTAGAAAGAATTTTATTTTTTGTATATATTATTTTTTGGGTTAATATAATCTTTGGTATCTCAAATTTGTTCTCATTTTGGTTTTATCCCTCAAGTTTTAAATAATAGATTTTTGATCCCTCTAGGAGCAAAATGATCCAAGTCTTTATTGAATTATAGGGACCGATGTTTTAAATGAAAAGAAATTTAAGGAATAAAAACCTATAGTTTGAAACTTGATCAACTAAAATTAAAATGAGAAAAAACCTAAAGGACAAAAAATTATATTAACTCTTTTTTTAAAAAAGAAAAAGATAAGTGCATTGGTATCTAATTGGTAATAAGTGCACCACTAATTCTCTCTTTTTTGCTTTTGTGTTTCTGTTGATGGAACTAACCCACAAAGTGAAGGTCAATAGGCAAGGAAAATTCATAGAATTTTCATAATGCTAACTATTATTAGTTTCAATTAAGAATATTTTTTTAACTTAATTTTTTTTCCTTTCACATCTTCAACTCATTATTAAGAATTCGTTTTTACTTGATTAAACTAATGTCAGTTGTGCTAATTTTTCAACAATAAAAAATTTAATTTTGCATTTAATTTTCTTAAAATTATCACTACATATTCAAACTGAAATAACATATAATTTTTACTTAATTTATTTTGAATTTCCCATATTAAAATAAGTACTGGTATTATGAAATTGAAAAGGTTCTAGTTCTTTAATCTGAATGATCCAATGCATGCTTAGATATTGGCTAATCTGATGAAGAAAAGGATACCTAAAATGTATTTTTAGACAGTCAAATAAATGCAAGTTAATCATTCAATTAACTATCAAGTATCAACATATTAAAATGCAGATGGCAAAAAAAAAATCAATATATTATGACTTAGAAGCTTAAGTCCCCAAGTACTCAATCAATTTATTATTATAAGCTACTTTTAATTAATTCACATAAACTAATATAATTGGTTGATATTCTTAAAATATTTCATTCTTTTTAAATATACCACTCATTAAATACAATTGACTGTTTTAGTGATAAATAAATTAAATTAATTCAGGTCAATCAATTTTTTATTTGTCAGAAGCATTTTCATGTTAAGCACATTAATTATTCATAACATTTGCAAATGCCTTATAAATTAAAACATAAAACTGTTTGTTTTTTTTTACCTGAAAACATAAAATTGTTTGAAGGATAGCTTAAGCAGCAATGGTAATATAAAGGGAGGGAAGTATCAATTTGGCCATTCAAAATTAAATTTAAAGCTAAAAAGACACACACAATAATGTGCTTTTGATGAAAAGGTGTGATGATTGTGTAATTGACCATAAAGCCTTAATTATTTTCTATTTCAACTTTCACCAAATGATCAATATATATAAATACATAACATGTCATATCTTTAACCCGAAAAGCAAGATAACAAAGTCAATAATGTAGTGGGGGTCACAATAATGGCCACAATTAAGGGGACTATATTTATCCCTATTTTTGCCACCAAGGTTTAATTAATTAACTAATCAATAATATTAGTATATTACAAATATTTTATATGATAGAGAATATATATGTAATATATGGTGATACTCCCTCTCGTTCTTATTGTAAGTAGAGCCAGTAATATAGATTGGACTTACGGGTCTAACCTGCTAACCCACCAAAAATATTAGGTTCGGGTTGGCACCAACAAATAAAATCTTTTAACCAAACACACAACTCATTGTGGGTCAGCCAACCAATCCAAGGGCTAACCTGTATTTATTTTTTAAATTTTATTAATTACTATATATTATTATATTTTATAAACTATCTAAAAAAATTTTAAAAAATACCCATATAATTTATTTGGTATTTTCAATCAATTATTTAAAGAAAAGATAAAAATTTCATCATATTTTATTCATATTGTATAAGAAAAAAAATACTTAAAATGAAAAAAAATTAAAAAAGGAAATAATAGCTACATATCGGCCCATCAACTCACTACGGTGAATTAGAATTGGCTAAAACCCAACCTGTCATTACATGAAATTTTTTCAACATGTCTCACTTAATCCTAACTTGTCATGAACCAATTTGTAACTTGCAGGTTGACCTGTGTTACCATCCCTGGTGATAAGCTTTGAATGACTAATTCATGAATAAAGAACAATTAGTTAAAATTATTTTAAAATAATAAATAGATTAAAAATAAATTTTTGTTTTCAAATATACTTTTATAATAAATGAGAAAAAAAGTTAAAAAAACTATGTGGGAAAATGTAATAAAAATATTATATAACAAACTTTATTCAATGTTTGACAATTTTCAAATTAAACAGTCAAGTCAACTATTCTTCTCCCTAATTCTTCAATAATTTCTTAGACCCTAAGTTTATTTTTGTAGCAAGACTTTTTAAAGAGACAAAAAATGTATGTGAATCGTTTTTAGAAAAATTAATAGCATAAAATTAATTTATTTTCAATATAAATAATATAATGTTTTTCTCTAACTTTGTACAAAATAACACATAGGACCTCCACTATTTTTAATTAAATAACTTGATACTAACATTTTATTTTATTACTTGTGAGCGTCATCGATAAGAATTAGCGTTTGATTGAAAGACTCCAATGATTTTGCATTATGATATGTATTGACTTTTCCACAAATGGACTGATCATGGAAAAGAGGGAATTGACCAAAACATTGAACAAATTCATTGTTACTACCCCTTTCATGTCTCAATATGGGGGACCCGCATTCCTCCAACCATATAGCTTATCGTTCAAGCAAATATTTTTGCTCAGATAGGTTTGATATTTAATATAATATTAAATAAATAATATATATGCATATGCTATAACATTTTTGTCAAGATATGTACAGTTTTATATTATCCTTTTGTTGAAAAAGTTCATTTAATCTTTCTTTAAATACCAACTGGCTGGATTTTAGAAGTTAAGTTAGACCCACAAATCTAAATGGAGTTAGTTCCAACCTTATGAGTATAATTTTTTGTTGATAATAATATTTTGATGCACAAATTTTTTTTTTAAAAAACCCCACGTTGAAATTTAATTTTATGTATGGACATATGTTTCCTACTTCAAAGCCTAAACTTTAAAATAATTTTTTATGACACAAAAGAATAGTTTTTTTGCCAAATGAAGGAATAAATTTTAAGTGTCCTAGATATTTGATTAAGACTAATAAGATGTATCTAATGTAATACTAAAGTACAGGATCTTTTTAATCAAATTATGTGATTTAAAAAACAGTTAAAATTAGTTAAAAGTAGTACATATATAACAATTAAACTTTTTTTAAATATACCTTTATTTAATAAGAGTGAAATAAGAGAAAAAATATTAACAATGACATAAAAGATGAAAGAGAATGAAGTACGAGAAAAAAATAGAAAAAAGAGTAGAAAATTAATTAAGAACAAAATTAATTAAACAAATATATTTAATGTTCAGACAATTCTAAATACGATCTTATTAAAAAAAACTAAATCAATTCAAATTTTAAAAATCTTATGAAAAGAAAGTAATATATAAAACAGATTGAGTCAAACATAATTTCTTTTTTTGGGGGGGGAATACGATAGCTTGTAGCTTGGGAAAGGGAACACTGACCAAAGACGGGTGAGTCTGGTCTGGCCACCATTCGCAAATCATTGATTGGTAATTCCTTTCAAGTTTCAACATCTTCCAACATTTTGAATTAACTAATTCTAACATGATTTTAATTTTTTCCATTTATCAATGACTACTTTTTTTATTAAATTCTTTTGTGGAAAAAAAATTAAACATCAATAATTCAGTGCACACAAATTGACGTTCCTCCATTATCACCTACTAGCATGTATGATAATGATAGCTAGACTAGGAAAATAGTTGGTCAGTTTCTTTTGTCCTTTTTTTTTTTGGGGTCAAATATCTTTTTACGCTATTTAGCCAAAATAAATACAGTAGGAGGAGTAACCCTTACGTAAACCCCATGAAATTTTCACACAATGGAATCGGATTTAAAAAAAAAAAAAAGAACAAAAAAATTCAACATGAAATGCCATCACTCATCAGGCCTAAATTTGATCCGAATATAATGGTGCCGGGTCCCATAAAGTCTGATGTGGGACACCTTAGTATTGACATTGAGATTTAAGAAATATAATATTTTTAATTAAATGAATTTCACACTTAAATTTGTCTCTTTCGAATCTGATTAGAAATTAATTTTTTTTAAAAATTCCCATTACATCTATGATCTCTTCCGTATCTTCCTCGATTTCTCACATTCTAATACATCGCTATCAATAAAACCAAAAAATACCTTCTTTTTAGGGTTGATCACATACATGAAAATCGCTGAACATCTATGGGCAACGACTATATCTCTTCATGTGTAATAAATAAGAAATCCCAACAAAAATCCGACAGGAAATAAACGTGAAGATATGTCAAGAGTAAAATTCAAGGGGGAAGTCCTTTTTTTTTTTTTTGCCCCCTTGCTGCACTACCTCAATCTTTTGTAGTTGACATATCCTGCCTAAAACACGGGGAAAAATAAATAAATAATAAATAACAAATAATTTTTTTTTTTAAGAGAAAAACAAAAGGTGTTAACTAGTTGTCCTAGTCTGGTGAAGAACCAAAGTGGCATAAATGAGCTCATTCCAAGCATCAGGTACCCCGGGAAGACACCAATGGCTACAATCTTGCTTTCTTGTGGATACTTTCTTCCCTGGAATTGTGTACTTTCCATATACAGATGGGTGGCCATCCTTGCGGAAATTGGTCAGTCTTGTGACATTTAATAACTTCACCGGAACTTTCATCCCCCTAATCACTTCTTGCACTATCTTCATTTTTTCCGGATAGCTGTTAAGGATCGTCCCAGTAAAAACTGGATCGGTTTCACCCCGGCATGACCCACCTGAGTCCCAGTCTCCACCTCTGATTCCAAAATTTCATGAAAAAGAAACAAGAAGTGATTACAAAGAGTAATCGATGGTGGTGTGACTGCAATTTATTTCTTTTACAAGACTCTCGGTCATAAATATAATGGAAGGGGAAGAGTATCATGTAGTTTGGGCCATAGTTTGTCGTTACCTAGTAGTTCAAAAGCTGACGTTCTGCTATTAAATGTACCAAACAGAATACTTTAAATTCATGACTTCGAAAATATTCAAAAAGAAAGTAGATACAAAAATATATGACTATGGACAGGGCTCTTATCCCATTTTTATATCCATCCTATCTTTGTTTCTTTATCTCCTTTTGAATATCTTCTACGCATTCACTTTCGCAAATGTGAAACGTCAGAATTTGAGGTTTTGCTTGCTAGTCAGCAAGGCACATGACCTTAGGCTTTAATTTTGCCAAATCTTAAACAGATACTTCCAGATCATATATATAAAAAATCTACAGCAAGTTACGACTCATCTCACACTCCATGCAAAGCAAGAGTCTTAAATGAAGGTCCTTCTGTTTTTCCAAATTTGCCAACTTTTGAACCAGAAGATAATGAACTGAAACAGGCCAAATCACGCAACGGTAAACTGTATTTTAAACCGTTTTTTCAGAAAATCAATACCTGAAATGGGCAGAAGAATATCCACGATAGTAGACTATCTGTTTCTTTGGATTGATGTTACGATCAATCCAATTTGCCCAGGTCTTTAGAGCCCTTCTGTATGCCTCAACTGAATCAAACTGTGGATAAAGATAATCACCTTCTTTGTAATAATTTATCCTGGAAAAAAAGCAGACATTGTCGGTTTTGGTAGATGAATTTTTCTTTTACTTTTTCTTTTCAAACAAAAAATGTGCTGCAAATCTTTTATGGAAGGAAAATTTATCTTCAAGGGGTCAATGGCAAAACAGTAATTCAAGAACTAAACTCAAAGTTACCTAACTTAAAGAACATAGAGGTACCATTTCAAAGCATAAATCTATTAAGATAAAAAAAATTGCATACAAACCCTCGAGCAGTCTTTCCATGGGTCCACCAGTGCCCAGTGTTAAAGATAAGAATATCAGCCCTCATCCAACGGCCAGACGTCTTGTCAATCCGGTCTATTGATAATGTTGGGTTTGAGTTCCCTTGTGCATTTTTACGAATTCCTTCCCTCACAAGGAAATGAGATCTCACAAATTGTACTGTACAGTTATAGTCCTGCCAAAGCGTTTCAAAACCTTAACATAATGAACTACAGTTTATAAGCCTACAATTGATTCTAACGAGAAAAATACGCAGGCAAGATTGCCTGGTCGTTGTTCGGATGATTAAAAACTCTGCAAAATTATTGTAAGAACCAAGAGAAATAGCATCATATTTTCAAAGAGCTTAAAAACTAAGGGCTTGTTTGGGAGATGTAGCATGGTAAGGGAAAAAAATTATTTGGATGGTTCAAATGTAATGGATAGGGGTGGTCTGGTAAGCAGCTCCCAGACCCAAACATATCCTCCCCAACCCACACTCCAATTTCAAAAAACCTCCAAATCGGGGAAGTTTGAGATGATTTGGCTTCCCCATATTCTTCAATCACAGTTTCACCATTGATCGTTAAGATATCCTTCACTTTTTCTTTTTTCTTGAGATAAAGATTCTTCACTTTATTTCACATTCACAATACTAACATGGGAAACTTATGCCTTAGGGGCCTGATATTCTTCACCCTATCAGTGACGCCGCAACTGTCAAACAATACGAAATGGGCTATCATATATATATATCTTCATTAAACATCCAACGGAATAGGAACTGTCTCTTCCCACTCCACTCCATCCCGTCCCCCTCCATTAATGACCAATCCACTTCGCTTTCTTCAAAATTCCCAAACAAGACCTAAGGAGCAGCTGGAGTTGTTCTTGTCAACAATTTGGCGTCAAAGCAATCAATCAGAAGTAATCACAACAGACAATTATGAGAGGAAAATATTTTTCAAAAGCTGCTGAAAACATTGAAAAATTCATGTCAATAATGCCCGGATAACCTGACGATGCAAGGAAAGGAAGTTTTTACCTCAAATTTGAAAATGTAGAAACCCCGTCCTTTGGTTATTTTGTACCCATGGGTCTCATACATTTTGCTCTTATTTTGAAGACCTTCACGGAGCATGCACAAAATTGATTCAAATTGATTCCGATTCATAGAATCTCCTATCAGCATCAAGTTTTTACCTCTTAGTCTTACCAAGAAGTCTGTGGCATTAAACCTGCAAGTAACAAGGTAAAGTGAATGAAGAACGACCATGAATATCTGATGTTCCTGTAAACTGCACTATCAGGGACCAAATATTAGATGCTTGGAAAATGATTTAGCAACTCCATACAATTAACCGTTATTTCAATTCTCACACAGGGTGACTGAAGAGCCTTGCATAGACAGAAGGCCAAAAGCTGAACAAATTTTAGATGTACACCAATTACTTTTGTCAGACTCAACCAATAACAACAGCAGCTCAACATAGGGTTCAAGTAACTGTAAAGGAATTCTCTTTCCCTCTTCTCACCGATCAAAGAGAAAGAACAATTTTTTTGATGATCTATCAGATATTATATTTGTTTAAACTGAAACGTAAAAATAACGAAAAATGAATTATACCACTCCCAACTTCTACGAAATCCAAAAGGCAGAGTAAGCATGGTGACAAACAGATCTAGTGATACAATCCACTATAAATATTGAAAAATATTAATCACAAGGTTAAAAGTTTGAAATGCACTGATTAATTGTAATGCCTGACTGACTACCAGACAAAAAATATGGCTTCAGAAACTAAGCAAAGAACATCATTCATCAAACATGGGCTAGAAGAACCGAAAACATCAATCAAGATGATCCAGTACAACCATAGTGCAGGAAAAAAAAGTATGGTATTTTTTTAAAAAATATTTCTACATTAATAGAACATTTGTTTGCACAAGTTTGACAGTTCTAAGAAAGATCTCACACTTTTTTAAAAATGTTTTCCACTGGTTTGGAATAAATAAATTAACCTACGTTGTGTGCTGAGGAAGCTAATATGGATGCCAGAGGAACAAAGCTTATATGAATTGAAAATCGTCATCAACTTTCGCTGGTAGTAATACTATTGTAGGGCACCAAAACCTAAATTCATGCTTCAGGGAGATAAGCTCTGATAGTAAGATCCGCTGTTCTTCAATATTTACAGGACAACCCAATCACCTTCATAATTTGCAACCCAAAAACTCGGCCATATTTTCATGAAAGTTCTTTCAACATTTAGTATCACATATACGCTTAAAAATACATTCAGTCAGATGCATTGGTTTTCGAAAGTTGCTTTCCTCAAGCTGTTCCCAAGAGAAAAGGTAGCATTTATGTCTGTATCACATGTTATCGTTGGGTATTCATATGTGAGCATGTCTTAAAGGACAAGCCCAAGACTAAAACATATATGCACTTGAGTGAACATGGACAAGAGCAATGTCACTCAAACTACCATATCATGTAAACGAAGTCGTGGTGCCCAAGACTCTCAAGGACAAGCAAAAGACGTTTTTATCACAAGTTCAATGCATGTCCGCTTAATGTTCAACAATATCACAATGAAGTCTCGGAGCAATAAAACTCGTTTACGTCCCAATCTCCCATGGAATACATAATACAGCTCACACATTACAACGAATTGATGAAAATGCTTAAAAGAAGTGAAAGATAACACACGCACACCTCCCACATAATAACACGTAAAGCACTAGAAAAACTACACAAATACCTGGGAAGATCACAGCCATCAGGCTGCCACCGCCATTTTGTATAATCTGTGTCAGTCCTTCCATTGATTTGGCAATCATAAGCTTCGTCAACATAAGGGCAAGAACCCGGTCGGTAAATTGGGTAATTTTCATCCTTCACCCAAGTTCCAGTGTACAAATCACACTTCAACTGCTTCTCCAACGCGGGATCGCCGACATTATCAGCTATTTTGCCAGTGGTTACATTATCAGCATCATTCTTAGAAACTTCATTGTCAGTACCATCAGTGCTAGAATCGTGAACATCAACCGCAATTGCGTCGGTGGACCCGTTCTTAGAATCAGCGCCATTCTTATCGCGACCAGAAACTTCATTGTCGATGCCTGAGACACGATCATTACCCGCCATTGTCACATTCAATTCCTTATCAGAAACTGGTTCGATCGGACTATTAACAGAAATCTCATTATCCGAGCCAGACTCGCGAAGACTATCCACACTAGAGACAGTGGTTTTGCTGTCAGAAGCTTTCTCATTCTTATCATTACCAGATTCTTCTTTATCGAACCCAGCAGAGTTAGAATCGAGTTCAACCGGTCCAGTTTGAACATTCTTATAAACAGAGTGGTTAGATGGAGAATCCACATTTCCCGGGTCAGAAGTAAAATTCAAGGCAGTGGCAGTGTGCTCAGAAGATGAGATTGGAGAATCTTGGAGAGAAGGGGAAGCTCGAAAGAAGATATCAGGACGAAGTGAGAGGGCGGATTCTAGAGCTCTTCTGCTAAAAACGAACATAGTGAGAAGAAACAAGGCGAGGAACAAGAGGGTGGTGACGGTATAAAGGCTCCTCCTCTGGGTGACGGAAGTTGCCATGTGGGAAATGGTGGAAGAGCATGTTCAGGGAAGAGAGATGAAGACCGGAGGAGGCGTCGCCGGCTCCGACAGTTACAGAGGAAGAAGAAAGTGGGGGATTTCATGGACCGTGTTCGGAGGCACATGTTCACACGTGCTGCTTTTTTGTTTTTGGTAAAATCACACGTGCTGCTTTGTTCGCTCAGAAGAGTTAGTTTGGATTTGGGTTTTAGACACCTTAATTTGGGATCCATTTCTTTTAGCCCGCTACTTTCGAGCGGGTTCGGGTTAAGAAAATTCGACCGTATAAAATCAACCCAACCACCAACTTCTGCTTCTCTTTTTTTTTTTTTTCCTAATTTCTTTTTTGTTGCCAAATTACCGACTTCTACTCCTACTTCATGCAATATTTACATCTTCCCCTTCCAGTTTTTGAAGAATAACAGAAGATATATAATCATGTGATAATTTCATGACTATGACTATTTTAAATAACCAGTCTTTAAAAAAATTACTCTATAAATTACAACTTTTAAGATAGAGCTGATCCTTTTTATATGTCACACTTTATATATATACACTACCTCCGGTCCTTAATATAAGATCATGTTTGACTTTTATTTTGATTCTAAATATAAGACTCCAATCCATTTTGTCTCTCATATTTACTCAATTTTTTCCAAGATAGTCTTTCTAATAATTATAGTTCTAGTCAATACACTTGATTAGCAAGGATATTTTAGGAAAGACAACACCTATTTAAGACAAATAACTAACTCAACTTACTTCCTTAATCTCCTCAAATTAGTCAACTTGCTCTTATAATTAGGATCGGAAGTAGTATATGCTATCTAGTGTTTACAGCACATAAATCATCAATTAAATGCGTGCACACATAAACATGTCAATGTTGAGTTTAAACCTGGGGCCTCCTCCAGACATGACAAGCAGCATCCGGAGCAACTACCCGTTAATTGTATGGACTTCTATATAGGAACAATACATAGCCCAAAATTTAGTTCCCTTAAAATTTTTATATTTTATAATAATATGTAGGTTGTTATTGATTAATTATTAATTAATAATATGGGAATTGAAATCAAAATGTTTAATGAATAACGGAAATAGGTATAGATAGGCGTAGGTAGAAGGGGGGATATGGGTGAGTCTGAGAAGCTATAATATACAGTGGTGTTGTTGGTAACTTGGCAAGTTTGAGGGAAGGACAAGAGTGAGGTGTTTGAACAGAAATGGGAGTCTGCTTTAATTCACCATTCACTATTCGCTTCCCATCTTTCATCTTCCTGTCTTCTCAGTCCTCAATTTTCACAATTCCGGCGTTCCCATTCCCTTCTTCCCTCCTCCTCCTTGTTCCCCTCTTTTCCGTATAACCCATCCCCCCCCTCCTTCCTCCTTCAGGTTTATTGTTTTTTTTTCATTTTTGATATAGTTATCTGGATTAGATTGGAGCATTGCCAAATTCAATTAAAGATAGCTCTTCCATAAGCATGTTTATGTTTTTTTCATTGAAAGTATCCTCCATCCCCAGGGGAAACTAATCTAGAATCTAAGATAAATGATAGACCTCTGCTGCCACGACTCCCAAATCTAATGATCCAATTCCCAATATTGGTAGCCTAAAGTTCATAATTTGTACTATGGAACAGGATGAGTGCAAAATAAAATAATGCATGTGAGTTCTATGTATGGGACAAAAATGAGAAATAATGCTGGGAAAACTACTGCATGGACTCCTCTAATTTTAGACATCAAAAGAAAAAAAGGAAAAACATGTGATTGGAAGTACCAAGTAGGATTTGAGAGCATTTGGGTGGGGCTGGGTTAAGCTAACTACTTCAACTTCCCTGGCCAGTGGCCAGTCGCCAGAAGGCTTAGTAGGTTTAGGAACAGGATTCATTTTGCACTTTGCTTCCTCATTTTACTCTTCTCAAACTGTGTTGGTTGGTTTGGACTCACAAGTTGTCCATCAATGCTGAGGTTTGAATTGATGTGCCTTAAAGATGTTTGGTGAAATATCTGACCCAAGAGATGTGATATATCATTACAGTCTTTTACTGCATATATACGAGGTACTTCGTAGTTAATGCCCCATAACCTTCTCATGCCATGCCCTCTCTCTGCTCTGTTTCATTACTAATAATAATAATATATCAGCACCAATTAATTCCTTTTGCCTCTGTCTCCCTCCCTCTCTCTGGTTCATTTTACAAGTATATAATCTTCTGAGGGTCTTTCTCTTTTTCTCTGCCCTTCCATTTCTTCTATGATTTTGAACTTAAACTTGGTTCAATGAGATTGATAATTTTGGTGTGTCTTTTGATCTTGGTTTGCCATAGGTTCAACAACGCAGTATCTGCAAGAAACAAGAGCTTCATTGTCACTGATTTACTTGAAGATACAAAGAAGAAGAGCTCAAATGAGCATGAAGACGAAGACGGCAACAAGTGCAACTCCAAGAGGTGCCGTTTTAGTCATCCCTTTTCAAGCTCCATGAAGAACAGCACCATCTCTGATGATAAGAGACTCGTCCCTACTGGTCCTAATCCATTACACAACAGGTAGCAAGACAAAGAACCATCTTCCTTGTAGCATATAATGACTAGGATCCTGTTATAGTGCTTTAAAGATTATGTGCGTCCAGTATCAGTTGACTTCTTCAGAGATTTTTTTGGCTTCACTTCATCGCTCATGCTTCAACTATGTAGGTTCAGAATGACAAAATTAGATCCATCTGGTTCGAAAAATCTACAAAGAAGTCAATTATTTCTGAGTCATATTTTCTATTCAGAGGCCAAAAGGGACCTTTAGGTGACCACAATGGAAAGTACAGTATGATCTTCTTCATTTTTGTTTTAGGAAGTTGTATTACTTAGCTGTTGTACTAAGGTGAATTTTGGAAAAAAACTGACGTACATTACCCTCTTCTTCTAGAGTTTGAATATATTTTTCCTCCATTTTTCATTTGCTTTTTTGCTCCTTCTCTGTTCATCTTGTAAGCGAATCAATCGCAGAATATTGCTTCTGACAATAGCATTACTGTCAACTTTCTCCTAGCTTAGAGGTTACTATTGTTCACTGGGCAAAAAGACAGGCTCATACGTTGTAACAATTTTCATATGTCACTGTTACTGTTGCATGTTAAAAAAAGTCCCAGTAGACCGGGGATATACCAAAAAGTTCATTTCTTGTTTCCCTCTTCTTGGTTGAGACTTCAAAACATGCTTGTTTTTCAGAGAGGGAGAGGGAGAGGGCTTTGTATCCGATCGAAAATAAATCTTTATCTTATTATAGGAAGTTAAAAAAAAAAGACTGAAAATTTATAGTATTAAAAATTACTTTCAGTGTACGACAGAATTTGGTTCAATCGATGAGGATAAAAGCCATACTTCACAGGGATGTGGATTCGAAATCCAGTATTTTTTTGGGAGTATATTTAAAGCAAAAATTAATGATTTATAGAATACCGAAGGTAAATCTTTTAACAACCGTCATAATACTCATTGTTATGATAAAATTTAAACCATTTAAAATTAGTTTTAATGGTCTAAATTTAAAAAATTTAATTTTCAAAAACTTAGTTAAGATATTACATTTATTTTGAATTTTGTACCTGTTAAAAAGGAAAACATTTTTTAAAAAAATAAAAATATTAAATATTAAATCTCAATATTTTATATTAAATTTGAATAGTTAAAATTTAATAAGTATTATAATACTCACCGCTTATCGGACGATAAACATAAAAAATAGTTCACCTTTTTAACTAGGTTGCTATATGCAAATGAGCTGAAATTCAAATTCAAAACCACTTTTTCAAGCAAGTTCTCATCAGTACCATTCATAACTGAGGTTCAGACCAAAAACCACTTGCTCAAATTATAGTGTTAGGCCAATTTTCTATAGCTATAATTTTTAATAAATTAAATTTATTTTTATTTTGATTTTAGTTCTTTAAATTCCAAACTATAAATTTTAATCCGACAAAATGACTCAAGTTTTTATTATATTATAAAGATTAATATTTTAAATAAAAAAATTTGAGAGGTCAAAATCTATGATTTTAAAATTTGTGAAACAAATTTTAAAAGATAAAAAATTGTATTAATGCTACAAAAAAAAAAATACGTTACTTTCAATACTTGACCCCACAGTCTTGGTCTCTATCAAGCTGCACATAGTACATTTACTCTCTGAATACAAAGGATATGGTGGGGTTGCGTAGATTCAGTCTATAGGTCAAAAGAAGAAAGAGGGTGCTTGTGATGTCTGAAGCAAAACCTGTACTGCTAATGAAGAAACGGCATTGAATATGTGTCGGGACAGGAATTTAATGGGAACGCTTCTTAATAAATTCCCCATATGTAGCTATAAAGGTTCTTTGCTTTCTCCTTCGACAAAAACTAGCAGGGTCGTTTTGCCTGTGTCTCTCTCCCTCTCCCATGCTTTTTTCCATTCTTGTTTTCAGTCTCTTTCTCGTGGTGTATATCTCGAGGCTGTGCTTGTGCATACAATTAACTGCCCCCATGTATTGTCGGCTTCGTATATCCTCTTCCACAAAATATAACATTATAATATATATACGTGTATATATATATATATCAATAATCAGAGAATTAGTAATGAGGCATCAGAAACAGAAGTCATCATGGTGACAGTGGAGGAGAAGGTGCTTTGGTTTATCAATGTTACTAAACTAAGACATGGACTATCCTAAAATTCTGGGGAAATTTTTAAAGACAATATCAATGTTCTTTGTGATGATTAATTAATATGACAATATAAGATCTGAGTTGAGTGACCTAGTGGAATAAAATATTCTCCATTATCGCAGAACTTGAGTGCTAAGATTTCAACTCCTTTGTCCTTTTTTTGACCTGAACTCATTTGTCCACTTCAGTAGAATGAAAGTGATCAGCTGAAGCCTGAAGGATTTTGAAAAAGATTGAAATTATGTCTTTTATTTCAGTCATACTAAATATATTACAAAAGTCTGCTATAATTATTACCTTCAATGTAAAAAAGCTTCACACAACTATCATGTAAGGATGATACAGAGATATTCTCATGCTAATTACAGTAGAAGAATTCCTGCTAAAG